AAATTTAAATTTATTACAAAAATACAAATTGAAATAAAATTTGTTTGTAGATCTTTTTGGATTTTTGTCGCCTTTTTCCTTAAGTGTAGGCAGTAATTTTTGTCCAGAAATTTGCAAAAAATCGTACTTTCTTTTATTGAGGTACAGGATGGTCCATGTTACACTTCACCAATTTTAATAAGTGAAAAATCATCAGAAAAACGGTAGACTTTCTTTTCTTGCCAAGGATCAAAGTTTGAAAGAAAAATAGATTTTGATAATTTTCAAACTATTGACTTAATTTGCATCAAATATTGGGATTGTTTTTCGGAAACAATTTGCATTTAGGCCTTCGATTCTGAGATTTAAAAATTAAAGTTCGTTTAGGATCGCGCCCGTTTGCTTTAGAGTTTGAAACCACAAAGTCAAGTAGTTGTGGATGTGCCAAAAAATGTACAATGAGTAATTTAACTTAATGTATTTAAGTAATTTAATTGGAATAATCACAATTTGATGTGAATTCAACGAATGGTTCAAAAGTTAGGAAACATCGGCGAGAATATTTACTAAACTCAAAGTCCGCTTTATATTTTATGGCCTTTCAGCCATTAAAATTACTGTATAAAGAACATGTAGATACTTATTTTTGATTTGATATCACACGAGAATTTAGTGAGAGTGAATTTTTGATCGCGTCCTCGAATCCTAATTGGGTCTGATGAAGAACAGATCGAGTTGTTAAATGAAAAATCAGAGCTTTTTTTGCACAAAAATATTTTAAAAAAGAAGCACTGAACTTATGAAAATCCTTCAGTAGGCTATAAAATATATCTATATTTTTAAATGTTTGAATTGAAGTGAACGAAGTTTTCTTACATAGATTTATTCCAATTATTTCAAAACATTTAAGCATTTTTTGCCCGAAGTTTGTTCTACATTAAACTGAGAAGCAAAAGCTAAGTGAAATCAGTATTAGTTCAAAAATGAAATTCGTAATTTTTTGTTTAAATGTTCCATTGTTAAAAATCACTAAGAATATGTTTGTAAGTAGAAAACTTCTCTGTACTTTTACACTTGTTACGGGTGCATATCATTTTGACTCCATGGCCGGATTTTGAACAATTTCTTCAGTTAAAACCGAAGAAAGAACTTTATTTTGTGTTTTTTGGAGCAAATTAAATATTTTTTTTTGGTAGGAACGTGCTGATTTAACTCACCAATAATTAGTTTCGTAGGTACACAGCAAACCAAATGCTGTGAGTGAAACCTTTCTCTGAAAATTATCAAAATTGAAGCGTTGATGTTTATACATCTCCAAACTGAGCATTTGTGTGGATTGTTCTCATAAAATTTTCGGTCTTAAGAAAAATTACTTAAGCACAAAAAATCATTACAAAAACCTGCGTGAAAATGACGTGTTTTGCCATATTTTTTTCACATTAGTCTCCGGACTATAGTGATGATTAATGGCCGCTAGACTCAATAGGACAGTACCTACACATCTCAATCTGAGCCGCCGCATTGCAAATTAAACTCAGAATAATCCCATAAATAATGTGAAATGGTAATTAAGGCAAGAGCGACACGAAAGAGGCATTTAATCGTCTCGGAAAAAATAGCCTTGTTATAATTAAATCAGATCTCGGTCCATTATAGCTATAAAATGCTGGCCATAAAAACCGGAGATATTGTAGTTGACAGGGGCATTAAATAAATTAAATTAGCGGTAGCCCCGCCTAGAAGCGCGCGCACGCTGAGGCGGTACGTAGTTTAATTGTGGAGAAAAACAAACGTTATAGTTAGACCGAGGCATGTTATTTTCTAAAGACTGCCGCAAATTGTCCACCAACCTGTTTATCTTGCACTTATACAAATCGTAAAAGTAATATCCCAACGTTTATGGAGTTAAACTGGTTTTTTTCTTGTTGGCAGGAGAGGTGAAAATAAGAGGCCGTCCCACCTCTTATTGCCATTTCGGTTGTAACCGCCGGCCAATCGCGAGCGAGCTTTCAAGCGTCGGGCGGCAACGCGCCAGGCCAATCCAAGCGCGGCACAGCCTCTTTACCTTTTGTTCCATTCCACTAGCCCCCCACTACGGGGATTAGACAACTTGCCGGGTATTCGACTTATTAACTCGAGAGTTCCGACAGCGGTAGCACGTTTTACTGTAAATTAGTCTTAAAAAACGCTGTTAATGTGTCCAATTAGGGCGGAAGAGTGCGGATCGCGTAAATAACCAGAGTGATCATGTGGCAGTACACGTAACAAACTCAGGGGGATAAAGACTGTAATCGCGTTAGTGGTGCAACAATTCCCCAGCGGTTTGGAGCAGTTAATCATGATGCCTTTGGCACCGACTCCAGTTCTTCCAGTGCCATCCAAGCCGAAAATCGGGTTCTCGATCGATTCGATAGTTGGAGGCGCGACCGGCCACAGTCCCCAAACATCCCCAGTGCACTATTCGGAAAGTTCAGCACCGTTGTCTCCCTCAAGCGATGCGGATCAGCGGCTAAACGGCTCCCCAAAGAACTATTCGCCCCAAAGATCGCCGATGGGGTCACCAAAGCCGCCGATTATGGTTCCGGGCATTCCGGCGCATAGTTTGGTGCGACCGAACCCCACTTACGATCCCAATTTGGTGGCGAAAAATGCCTTTTTGCAGCCGGAGATGATGCATAATCATACCGGGCAGCATCCGTTTGCGTTGGCGCATTTTCAGGGAGCCGCTCTGGCTGCCGCCCTGAGCGGACAACACGGATTTCCGGGACAACCTTCACCTCTTACCACACACACGCCACCGAGGGATAGCTATCCTTTGTATCCGTGGCTCATCAGCCGCCATGGGAGGATCTTTCCCCATCGATTTCCTGGTGGTAAGTCCCTGTCCACTCTTACCGCACTTGTCAACCCCGGACACCTTAAGACCAAGGAAACTCCAGCAATTTAACCGTTTGAGGATGGCGTTCTCATACACGATATTTTCAATAGTTCATTTTGAACATTTCCAGAAAGAAAAACCTTTAGTTTAGTGCGATTTAAGCAACGCTTTGGCTTAATCGTAAATAAGTCCATGAAAGTCAAATCTGGGCTTCTAACCGGCCGATCGTCGGCTCCAATTGAAAGTTTTTTTTATGGGAAATAAAACATTACTTCAATTGCTGTCCAATAATCCATTTTTTCGCTTTCTTTCTGGCGGCTTTGTCACATTCTGTAACCCGTTTTGCTTTATCAGAGTCGTTTTGTTCTATATCATTCTCAGGTATCTCAATATTTTGCATTCAAATTACCAAATCAAAATCAATTCCTAGGCTTCAGTCATTTATTGTCTCTAATTATCAATTAAAATACGTTTCGGTGTTTTCCACCATCATCAGTTTTTATGTGTAGCGTTGTTGCTACTTT